GTATCTGTGTGCTGTATGTGTATTATTCAAACACTACTCTCAAATACGTCTCCCTGTATGCGCTCATTCTCCGAACGGGGAATTACCTCAACAGGTATATGCTCTGTAGACCTCATCGATGTCATTCTCAATTTCCTGTTTGTCTTTCTGTAGGGCTGTTGCTATCAAATTCGCCATTATTTCATGTAGTTATTCCTTATTTGGTCTATATCTTTTCAATAATTTCTTCACGGTGACTGTCAAACTGGGGTTTTCTGGATAGGGCATCCGCCAATATGTTTTTTCCTCCTGGGATATATTTCATGTTAAAGTTGAACCACTTGAAGTATTGAGCCCAGCGGATTTGTTTAGGTGATAGTTTCCGAGGTGCCTTTAGAGCCTTGAGGTTCTTGTGATAAGTCCACACCTCAAACGGCTCCTTCACCCCTTCCAGGAAATGCCTCCAAGACAGCAAAGCCCATCGCATTGCAAATGCTTCTTTTTTCCCAAACCGCCCACCTACACTCTGTCTCTGTCAACTTTTTGGACACATAAGTGCAAGGCATTAGCCGGTTCTGAGAGTCCTTTTGGTGAAGAATGGCCGCGACAGCCACATCACTAGCATCAGCTTGGACTATGAAAGGTCTGGTGGGGTCCAGGTGCTGGAGAATGGGCTCAGCTGCAAATAAGTGTTTGAAAGTCTCAAAAGCTTTCTGACAGTCCATTGTCCAAGCAAGGGGTTGACTGGGCTTCGGTTTGTTGGTGGAAGGACCAGTTTTCAATAACTCTGTCAAAGGGAGGGTGACCTTGGCAAAAGAAGGAATAAATTATCTATAGAAATTGGCAAAACCCAGGAAGCTTTGAAGTTGCTTACATGTTCTGGGGGGGTTGCCAATCTAGCGCTGCTCTCACTTTTCCAGGGTCCATCTCAATTCTCTGGTTGTATACTCAGTAGCCTAGGTAATCCAGTGACTCTTTGTGGTATTCGTGTTTTGACAGTTTTACATATAACTTGGCAGCTAAAAGTTTTTTCAGCACTTGTTTGACCAATTTGACATGTTCTTCGATGGTTTCACTGAATATAAGAATGTCACCAGGTAGATGAGGACCCATTGGTATAAGTGTGGATGTAACACTTCATTGATGAGTTGCATAAATACTGCGGGGGGGCCCTGGAGCCTGAAAGCCATGACTCAGAATTGGAAACTACCCAAAGGGCAGTTGAAGGCAGCTTTCCATTTGTCTCCCTCCTTTATGTGGACTCGGTAGTAAGCTTCTCTTAGATCTAGTTTGGTGAAGACCTTGCCTTCTGACAGGTGGTTTAATAAGTCTTTCATGAGGGGGAGGGGGTACATGTTTTTTATGCACACAGCATTTATGCCCCTAAAATCAACACATAATCTCAACCCACCATCTTTCTTCTCTTTGAACAGCACTGGGGCGGCCAACCTAGATATGGCAGGTTCAATGAAACCTCTGTCCAAATTGTTGTCGATGTATTTTTTTTAACTCAGTCATTTCAGCTGGTGTCATGGAATACATCTTTTGTTTTGGCAGTTTTGCCCCGGGGTCTAACTCTATAGCACAATCAGTGGCTCGATGGGGAGGTAACACATTGCATTCCTCTTCGCTGAACACCTCAGCCAAGTCCCTGTATTGTTTGGGGATTTGGGGCCCACTTGGAGGAGAGTCTGAGGCGGTGGCTGCTGCTTCAGGATGGGGATCTCTGTTGGGTGGCAGTTTCTTTGTGAGAGGAAGGGGGGCAGTGGGCCAACCCCAATTATGATTTTTCGGTATCCATCCTCCCATTTATCCAGCCAAGCAAGTCTCAATATGACAGATTCTGACATCTTTGGAGCCACTGTAAAATGTATGAGTTCACGGTGACTGCCCATCTGTAGTTTGATTAACTGTCATTTGGATGGCCAGAATTCCCCCAATTAAAGTTCCATCTACTTGTTCAAACCTGATTGTGCGTTTCAGGGTTTTTGTTTTTATACCTAATTTTTCAAAGATAGGGAGACCAATAAGGCATCTGGAACACCCTGTATCTATTAGGGCTTCTATCTCCCGTGTCTCCCCTGTATCAGGCACCACCAACTTCACTTTGACTGTGAAAGGGGTGATGGCAGCACTCACCATGGGGTCATCTTCTTCATTGGCTTCAGTGGGGAGAATTTCCTGGCCCAGAAGTTCATCGTTCCATTCTGTGTGGAGGGCACCCTCTACGGTGTGTCTAGCAAACCAGCTAGTGTCGGGAGGCTTCTGTGGAATTTTTCGACCTCTGGTGGCTGTTGGTGGTGGAGGTTGTGGAACAGGTGTAGGAGCCAGACAGTTGGCTGCCTTTTGGGCTTCCTGGCCACAACGATAACACTTTATCATTCTGGTGGGTCGGGTAGGAGCAACTTTAGCAGGTCTGGTCAGAGGCCGTCTGATCACCGCTCTCCTAGGAGGGCCTTCAGGAGGGTTTTTGGTTTTTTTTTGTGGGTTGATCTCCCTGTCTAGCATGAGGGACATTGCATACCAATCTTGGAGGGTCTCATGTATCCCTCTAATATTAGAGGCTTTTTTTACTTCTGGGTCAATAGCCTTCTTGAAATAATGCAAAAGTATTCTCTCAGGCCAGTCCATGAGATGGCTTGCAACCCTTCTAAAGTCCCATACAAAATATTTTAAGGGTTGCTTGCCTTGTTTCATTTCCATCAATTTTTCTTCATTTTCCCCAATCCTATCAGGATTATAAAATCGAAACTTAAGGATTTGCAGGAAAGCATTGATATCATTAATTTCTGGAACTTGTTCGTAGTGCAATTGGGCCACCCAGTAAGAAGCATCCCCCTCATTCATTCCATCTGTGATTGCAGTCACCAGATCGCGATCTTTTGCATACTGGGCTCCAAATTGATCTATGTGGGACCAGATCTGAGTGAGAAAATAAGCAAAATGTTCGTGTTTTCCATCAATTTTGCTTTAAAAACCATTTGGTCTGGTCTGAGGGGGTGGGTGGGATCGCCATAGCAACTGCGGGCTGAGCTGGAATGTAAGGAGCCTGCCAAGGAATCTAGGAACCTTGCTGTGAAAAGGCCATTTGTTGTATTCTTCTCTGTGAGTGGAGGGTGGGTGGGGTGGCTGCTGTCTGCTGCCTGCGCAGATCCCTTTGCTGATAAGGGATCGATGCATCTCTTTGGAGCCAGGGTGCTCCTGAATTAGGTGGTGCAATGGGTGCTGGCATCCACTGGCATTGGACCCACCCTTGACCAGGATAAAATCCCCATCCTGGAGGAATACTGTCAGTCTGTGCTCCATTCAAAATCCAAGAAAGAAATACTCAGACTCCATAGGTTAGAGCAAAGTTTTTTCTTTTACTGAAATTCGAAGTGGAAGCTACAGGTAGAATTCTGAATCTAAGAAATTAGGCGCGCAGATCACATATACAAAGGGGTGAAATTGATCCCACCCCCCAAAGTCCAAGATCTTCCTCCAATTAAAAGTTCTGAATGTGACCATGTGGGCATCTGCAGGTGGTGATGAGGCTTCTGTCCGTTGACCTTGACATATTTTGATAAAAATTAGGAGTTGCGCAGTAGAAAGACAGTTGAGCAAGGAAACAGAAACTTAAGAACAAGAATTTTATACTCCCCCTCCTCCTTCTCATTTACAGCACAGGAATGTAACACCTCCAGCTTTCTTCCCTTCCAATCCCCCCCTCCCCCCGTTGCTAATGACAGCCGAAAGATGTAGAGCAGAGAGAAAGATGCATAGCAGTAGAAGATATCTTGAAGGCTGACAAATACTCTCTGCAATGGGTAAATCTCCTTTTGGGTTGTGGAGGGGAAGGGCTTGGGGTTTGTAAGGTACCCAATGTTGGCTGCATCTGCCATCTCTCCCTTGAAACTTGATCCTGCCAGGCTGGGATGCTTCGCAGGCCATCTCCAACTGATGCCACAGTGAAACCCCCTCCTCCTCTCGGACTAGGAAATGTAAATGTTTGCTGCGTTAGGATCCAGCTCATCTGGAGAGGCTGCTTCTCCTCCAGTCTCATTCTTAGATCTTCGCTGAGTCTTTGCACTGATCCATATGGGAATCAGTTCTGGGGCTCAACACCCCTGACAGCCCCCTTTTGGGGTGCTGGAGGTTGTAGGAGTTTTGAGTTAATGTCAGCATTCCAGTGAACCTCCATTCCAATCAGTAACTCCGAGACAAGCATAATTTCAAAAGTACCTTTATTAGAATAGCACCTGGCACATCTGGAATCTCGAAACTAAAAGTTTCCCGGACTTCCCACAATGTCCCAAACTACAATCCATTCCCTTTTCTCCCATCATCACATCACATGGACCAATCACGATCTGTCCCAGTGTAAGATCCTTTTTCTCTGCTGTGCCACACTTAAATAACCTTGAACTAAGAAAATAATTTTATTTTGTCTACTTAGAACTACTCAATTGAAATCACTCCCCTCCCACTTTCTTAGGCTATGTGGCAGTGTGGAATATGGCTTCCAAAGCTGACACGTGATTTTGACCCCACCGCCACCTTCAGCTCACCAGCTATTCTGTAGCATGGCTTCTAAAACTGCTTGCAGACTGTTGCTGTTACCGGAAGATCTTAAGGGATGATTCTGAGACTCCCTAATCCAGGAGGGTCAAATAAATGAAAGAAAGCCTGTTTCTTCTGTTGTTGAGTTAGAAAAACGACAGTCCAGAGAGAGTGTGGGTGTGTCAGCTGCTGACCATGGCTTCACTGAAAGTGACTTGAAATATTATTCATTTGTTAACATTTCAGCCATTTATCTCCATTTTAATCTACCTGGTTAAGATTAATTTTATAATCAAATTTCAAGATGGCAGATATATACATATTTTTAAACACTTCTAATTGAAAGATGTATTAAACTCTATTGGCTTCAGCTCCTATAAAATCAGTTGTTTAACTGAACAATTCCAGATGTACATCTAAATTACTTTATTCCATTTTGCATAGATTATTTGAAACACATAAAAATGTTTTTCTCTGTTCAGCTTTTAGTTTGAATGCTGAGCAACTGGATTATGATTTGGAATCAGAAGATGAGGCCTTTGTGAATAAGCTGAAGAAAAAAATAGATATTTCTCCTTTGCAGTTTGAAGAAATGATAGTTCAGCTTGAAAAAGGAAGTGGTCAGCAGGTATAGTATTGTTTCAAATTTAAAATTGTTTTAAGTGTATAAATATATAAAACTGACATACTTGAATTTTCCCTTTAGCCAGTCAGCCTGCAGGAAGCCAAACTACTCTTAAAGGAAGATGATGAACTGATTAGAGAAATATACGAGTACTGGATTAAAAAGAGAAAAAACTGTCAACGTCCCTCTCTTATCTCAGCAGTGAAACAGGAGAAGCGTGATGGTTCCAGCACAAATGATCCTTATGTTGCATTTAGAAGGCGAACAGAAAAGATGCAAACTCGAAAAGTGAGTATGCATGTTTGCGTGTATAGGTTATTTCTCCATTCTTGTTGCATCTACAGACTGCTGTCCAGGGCCCTTTTTAAAGTGTACCAGATTCTTTTACAGAAGGAGTGACCTCTTGGACTAGGAAATGAGAGCCTCCCCACCCACGACAATGCTAGCAAAGCTCTTTATGGATAATAATCACACTTGTTCGCTTGGAGTCAGAAGCCATTTGGACAGAGTCCAGAGAAGCATGAGGCTGATGTGTTGAAAGGTTTCCTAGGAAAGATTTTGCACATGTTGATCCTGTGGAAATGGGCAGTTTTTGGTGAGATGACCTTGACCCTGTCTCATTTGGCTTGTGCATGCTGCCAAGGAGATGGGGAGATGGGTCAAGCCATGGTACACACCTTGTGGGATATCTTTGAAAGTGCCATTTGTTCATCCTTTCCTTAAGGAGCTAACATTTAACCTAACTGCACTGGACAGCTATCACTCAGTTTGCAACTTTCCCCTCTTAGGGAGGTTGTTGAGAAGATGGTTGTTTGACATCTGCAAAGGACTCAGAAGTAGATTATATGGACCCTTTTCTGTCAGGTAGAGTCATGACCTTATAGTATGCCTCTAGACCAATGCTTTTCAACCTTTTCACAGATTGTACCACTTTTAGGACATGACAGTATTTGAGTACCACCAGTGGCTTAGCAAGGTGTCAAAAATCTGATAACAAAAAAAAAGGAAAAAAGTGATAAAGTACCCATTTACCACACTTTTAATGGGAAACTTGTTTCTCTGACATTTAATCTTTGCACTTGTGTCTGGAGAAAACGCCTTCTCACACAAGTATGTGGAACCAAATGGCAGTAACGCTACAATAGCTTCCCCCCCACTTCCGAGTACAGTTTTGCAACTTGGCTCCAGAACTCAGTCAGAATTCCAATATCACATCCTCTTGACACGAATGGAAAATACAACACAAACTCGGTGTGCAGTTTTTCCAAGTGATTTTTTTTTTAAACAAATTTTATTAATTTTTGAAGACAAACAAAACATAGGACATAAAAGCATAAAACCTCCTTTCTAAAAATTACTTATAAGTTTTAACAAGGCAAATAAAACATCATTTTTTTAAGGCATAGTTCCACATTGTCACATTTCCATTTAAGCACATATATATCTTTTCCAAATTTCTCATTATTTCTCCCTTCACTTTTATT